CTTCTTTTGCCAACAAGTACCATATTTTTTTTATTATTTTGTTTTGCTTATTACCATATGCACCAGTGTTAACTGATACCAGATTTTATAGAAATATTTGCTTTGACTGGTATATCCCTGTTTTTATTGTGCACATTCTTGCTGATATACAGATATTGGAATTTCCTTTTCTGCATGTATGGAATGAGTATGGAATGTTTTTTTTTCTATTACCTTATGTACCAGTGTTCACTGATACCAGTAGATTTCTTTGTAGCTATTGTAATTTTACTGCATGTGCAGATGTTGATCCCTGAAAACAAGTAAAACAATTTTCAATAAATGCATAATGAAATGTACTAAAATTCTACTTTTCCAAAGAAAATGTCCTGGTAATTAAACCTTGCCTCACTTCTACAAAAAGAAAAGTACCAGTCATATAATTTGTGCTAATACTGTTAGTGTCTGCCTATATTTCTGAGATGAGGTATAATGTACACTATTTACCTTATTCGGACTATTGTCTTCATCTTTGTCGCCATAATTATTACAACGTTTCGGCCGTTGTACGCTCCGGCCTTCTTCAGCTGGTTGGAATGTCGAACTGAATCCACAATGGCACAGTGGATAAAGGCATTGGTTAGATTCAGTTACAGAACCCAAAGAGTGTGAGTTCAATACCAGGTTAAAGCAGTCGAGAACTTTCAGAGGGGAATTAACAGGAGATAACTGATAACTGACATCCATTAAACATGGCACGTGGAACAAGAACAGTCTACCCCAGTGAGCGAAATAAATGGTTCAGAAGAAGGCCGGAGTGTACAATGGTCGAAACGTTGTAATAAATATGGCGACAAAGATGAGGATATTAGTCCGAATAATGTAAATAATGTACTGTAAGTGTGTCTGCATAGATAGTGAGAATGTCGCATAAAGGAAGGGTATAATTATTATTTTGAGGTTGTGATCTGTGCATTTTTTTCCTAAGTATTCCATGCCAAAGTCTGGGTGTGTCCAATTCGTGTGTTCGCTTAATAGGCCGACAAATAGGATATTTTCAACCTATTCCTTTTCTCTGTGCAAATAATGAGTACTACAAACTGTACATTCGCTGTTGTTTGATTCATTTAAAAATCAGGTAATGTTGCTAGGAAGGGATATATCGAACAAAATTACTTGATCTTGTAAATAAACTAAACAACATCGACTATAAAATAGAATTTACTTATTAAACGGTAAAATAATGTATATTAGCTTTTCTCGATATCATGTTAAACCATGGTGATAATAATCTAAAAGTGTCTTTCGTAAATAAAACTTGTGTCAGGGATTTCACTAACCAACATATTAATCTTGGGGATTGCTATCCTCGAAGATTATACGCAGAGGCAGTAAAGTCGCTACATAACAAATGATTTAATATACAAATCGATACGTGTACAAGTTATAAAATAACGGATGTATCAACAGTACTCGTAACCCATATTATTATACGATGTTCCAGTCTTTAAATTCAACATATGTATCTAGTGTTGTAAGCATACGATTGTAGAGATAGTATACAAAAGAAGCCATTTGGTTTGCTGAAACAGCAACAGAACATGTGGAACTATATTTTTGACGGTGAAATAATAAAATATAGTTTCAAGGTTAATAAAGAAAATATAAATTTTGGCAGAGTTCGAACCTTCATACACATTCGTAGACTGTGTGGCAATGCCGGTGGTTTCCCACTCCAAAAAAGGACACGGGGGCACACATTTTTATTAAGATGCTCGAATGCACATGCCGGTAGATGTAATTCTCGATATTTAAAAAAACATGGAGTCTACTCAAACAAATATGACGTTTCAGTAATTAACAAAATCAAATTTCGAAAAAAAATTTTAGAAAAAAAATATATAATTATATAGAAATTATATATATATATATATATATATATATATTATGTCATCCACAGACAAACTGTTTCGCTGTATCACAGCTCATCAGTGTGGCTAGACGTCAGGTTGCCTTTAGCTAGGATCGAAACCCGGCTAAATTAGCGTCTGTTAGAGATTTTACAACTGAGCTGTTGGCGCACGGCAAGGAATAAGGTAAATTTAAGCGTATTTATTTTTAGATAAACACACAGTGACTGAGAGAACTCGATTCAATTTACCGAAGAGTCATGCAATATTAGACGTAATAGTCAATGTTTACAAACGCACATTTCTTCCACAGAGAGCCCAACTGAAATAATTTTAGGAGCATATATATATATATATATATATATATATATATATATATATATATATATATATATATATATATATATATATATGCAATTTATTCGGAAATTATGTTATAAAATCACTATAAAAATAGCCATTTTGTTTCAACACTTCTGGTGTCTTATCAAGTGATGGTGTTGAATGTAGAATAAAGAGTTTTAGAAGGTTCACGTCGACCAAACACCCCTCGATAGGGAAAACGCTGTTATATAAGCTGCAATGACCAATCAAAATACAAGTATATGAGAATTCAAAAAAACTTGACAACGAATCTTGGTTATAATAATTAATGCTTTAATGTTAGGGTTAGACTAAAATAGAAATCATTCTAACTAATTAATATTAAATTTTACTATAAAATTGAAAATTAAAAATTATCAATTTTAAATTTTAAATTTAATGCTCATTAAGTTTAAAATATTATAAAATTATTTAAAGAAGAAACTGAGGAAAAAAATACATATTTTTTGTTATTTATTTTGTTTTAATTGAAACGCCAAAAACTCAGAATAGACGTTAATCTAATGAGATGTAAATCTTCGTTAAAACCTAGATACATTTGAAGTGGGGATATGGGCAGGGGAGGATGAAATCTTGCAAAAGACAATACATGAACAATCAGATTATCATACACAAACGCGTACACATATTTAGATATTTATGAATAAAAATGACAATAGGAAAACTGGTAATTGCTGACGCGTTTCATCCAATGTGGACTTTATCAAAGCAAAATTCGAAAATGAAATTAATTGAACAAAGTAAAAAACAAAAAACAGAATGTACCTAGCAACTGGAATGTGAGAGAAACGCTATTTTCATATTTTTAACTGAAAATAACGTCAGTATTTGTCACGTGTGGAGAATATTGTCTGTGTTTATGTATTCAACCATTTTCTTTTGATTTTATGAATCTGTTGTGTATATTTGTTTGTAAGAGCAGTAATTTTGTTAAGAAAGGTGAAATGGGGAAAAAAAACCTGGGCGTAGATTAATATTTGGTATTTGAGGAGGAGATTTTCCCAGAATTTTTCCTTCTCAGTGAGTTATTTTGATTTAAAAAAATGCTACACTCATAAAAAAGAGAAAATAACTCACTCAGAAGGAAAATTCTGGAGAGTGCCGCCATATTTAGATATACAGACACGCAAAACAGGAAATAGATGACCACGACCCTAAAAAAAAACAACGAAACAGAAAAAAAGCCCCAAAAACAGACAACATATACATATACATATACATACAATGAAAGGCGATCATACCTACATACATTAATGTATCTAAATTGAAACGAAACTTTGCATCAATCGGAGAATCTACCCTTAAGCTATCGGTGCACGTCAGTGAGAAAGGTGAATTTTAGCGTATTTATTTTTAAAACACACCAGTGACAGAGAGGACTCAAATCAGTAGAAGAGCGTGTGTATGTGTGTGCGTTTGTGTGTACGTGTGTATCTGTGTGTGTGCAGAGATAGAGAAAGATAAAAAAGACAGTAGACCTAAATTTTAAGTCATATTTATGTACTTTTAAATTTTGTACAAGTAATGTGAACACCTAAGCATATACATGAAGATTTACTTACATACATAAATAAAAGGCGTACCACAAAAAGTACTCTATTGTGTGGCTATAAATCTATGCGCATGCGTGATTGTTCTACCGATTCTTCTTGATAAATCTTCTTTTTTTTTTTTTTTTTTTTTTTTGTAGATGTTAAGAGTTATCGCCGAATACAGAAAAATCGATTAATTTACGATATAAAGATTTTTTTTTATATCTAAATCTCTGACCTTTTTTCCTTCTTGTTTTAATATTTTATACCATTTGCTGCGCGATAGTTTCGACTATCTTCGAATCGTTTGATCGATCTTATTTTCTTTTCTTTTTTTTACACAAATCGTTTCATTTCTGCTGTTCATTTGTTTCCTGACCTCGCCAATATTCATTTGAAATCATTCGCCATCCTTTCTTCCCGCGGAAAATTAGTATCCTCGCAAGTAAATACAATTTCCCGACAATGTCGAGTTTCCAAACAACGTTCAACATAAAAGAAGCTTTCTTTATTTTTTTCTAGAGGCAAGAAAAAATACACACACACACACACACATATATATATATATATATATATATATATATATATATATATATATATATATATATATATATATATATGTATATATATATATATGTGTGTGTGTGTATATATATATATATCTATGTATATATATATATATATGTGTGTGTGTATATATATATATATATATATATATATATATATATAGCACTGATAAATCGACAAGAACAACTCGAAATAGATAGAAAGAGACAGTCTGATATAAAAGAAAACAATGAGATAGATAGATACGTATGTATAGCTGGCAACTCGTATTCAAGGATAACCGTATACAAGGGCGGCTAGTCAATCCCTATTGCAGACGCTTGCTCAGGCGCAACTGTTTTTATTCAGCACCCACAGTGCTCACCTGTGGTTTATATTGCAACTGTGCTGAACAGAACTTTATTTGCAGTTTTTGAGAAGGAGCGTGTTATGTAGCGCGAACAGCAATTTGAACAACGCCAGAGCGCTCAAGCCCTCGGCCACGACGACTTGTGACTTCGTGCTAGCACAGCTATCAACGGCACCCACGTGTTCCATCTACCTAATTTCACAATGCTTGGTTCAACACGTGATATGGCTTTCAGGCAAACGTGCCGCACGCTTGATCGACCCCTCCAGTCCGATAACGTCAGGACATCTCTTTCCTGACAAATCGACCATGGTGAGACGTGCCCATAAGACAGACAGATAGATAGATAGATAGATAGATAGATAGATGAGCAGACTTAGATAGATAGTAGAAAGATAGATGAACAGAATTAGATAGTAGATAGATGAGCAGAACTAGATAGATAGATAGATAGATAGATAGATAGATAGATAGATAGATAGATAGATGAGCAGACTTAGATAGATAGTAGATAGATAGATGAGCAGAACTAGATAGATAAAGATAGATGAGCAGAACTAGATAGATAGATAGATAGATAGATAGATAGATAGATAGATAGATAGATAGATAAAAATTGAAAAAGAGGTTAACTGGTATACATAAAAACATTGTGAAAGAAACGAATGAAAAGAGATAGATAGATAGATAGATAGATAGATAGATAGATAGATAGATACATGAGCAGACTTAGATAGATAGTAGATAGATAGATGAACAGAATTAGATAGTAGATAGATGAGCAGAACTAGGTAGATAGATAGATAGAATAGATAGATAGATAGATAGATAGATAGATAGACTTAGATAGATAGATAGAAAGATGAGCAGAAAGATAGATAGATAGATAGATATAGATAGAAAACATAGATGATAAAGACTTAAAGATAGTAGATGAAAAGCAGAATATAGATAGATAGATAGATAGATAGATAGATAGATAAAAATTAGATAGATAGATGATATAGATAAAAAGATCAGAAAGAAATAGAATGAAAGCAGAAGATAGATAGATAGATAGATAGATAGATAGATAGAGATATGCATACACATATCCCTATATAGTGTGCCTCTGTAGATTTAAATTATTTACCGGAAGCGATCAATTGCTAACTCTGCGCATCTTTTTCTTGATTATATTTCTGAGATTAGGTATTTTAACTATTCACATCGTTCGGTCTATTGTCCTCATCTTTATTGCCATTTTCATGACATTTCTTCGCCCCGTCTTCTTCAGGTGATATACGTTGGATTTTCGAACAGAAAACTTTATTTAGTCCACGTAGGTAGATTGTTTTAATTGTAGGTACTATGCCTTTTTTTATATCGCCCCATTGATTAATTCTTTTTAGTAATTCAATTCTTCAAGTTTTTGTTCTCTCTGTTATGACCAGATATTGAACTCACAAGTCATGTCGCTTTTATCCACTGGGCCATGTGTCCTTGATAACTGACACGTAGATATCCACAAAAAAATCCATGGGCTGTGGAATTAGAACAATATACCAGCGTGGACTAAATAAAAGATTCAGTATGAAATTTCAATGCATATCACCTGAAGAAAGTCGGAGAGTACAACAGCCTAAACTTTGTTAATATGGTAATAATGATGAAGACAACACTCCAAACGATGCAAATAGCGTAAATATCTATATGGTTATTAGGTTGTTCGAATGTTAGAATCAAACTTATTATTATAATAATTGCAAATATATTACTAATTATTAAGGCGTCTTCCATCTTAATTTTATATAAATTTATTTCAGAATTTAACTTAAAAAACTATATACTCCACATCTTGAAAATAAAAAAAGTATATACCCACATCTTGAAAATAAAAAGAACTATATACCCCACATGTTGAAAATAAAAAACTATATATCCCACATCTTGAAAATAAAAAAAAACTATACACCCTACATCTTGAAAATAAAAAACTATATACCCCACATCTTGAAAATAAAAAAGTATATACCCTACATCTTGAAAATAAAAAAAGTATATACCTCACATCTTGAAAATAAAAAAAAACTGTATACCCCACATCTTGAAAATAAAAAAGTATATACCCCACATCTTGAAGATAAAAAAAAGTATATACCTCACATCTTGAAAATAAAAAGAAAACTATATAGCCCACATCTTGAAAATAAAAAACCTATATACCCAACATCTTGAAGAGAAGCGATTACGTATTTTTGTATGAATTGAAGCATGGTTATAATGTTTCTTAAACTGTTGCCAATATTAACAGAGCATTAGATGATGTATCCACTTAGGAATGGACAGTAAGTTGCTGGTTTCTCAAGTTCCTCGATGGCGATACGAGTCTTGAACATCCAGTTGGTGAGGACGTCTACCTGAAATTGAAATGCAACATCTGAAAACACTTGTCGAACAAAACTCACGGCAAAGATTTTCAGATAATAGATATCAGCATTCAAATGCTATCGGACCATCTGAAGAAAATTGACAAGTTGAAGAAAATTAATAAATGGGTTCCACATAAATTCAGTAAAAGTCTCCAAGTTCGACGTTTTGTAGTGTGGACGATCCTTCCTCTGCGAAATTCGAATGGTCCATTTCTCAATCGAATAGTGACAAGTGATGAAAAATCGATCCATTATGACAATCGTAATCGATCGACTCGATGGTTTGATCATGACAAACGAACCAAAATCGAAATTACACAAAGAGAAGATTACGGTGACTGTCTCGTGATCGACCGCTGGCGTTATCC